CGCCCACTGGAAGGAATGTCCATGGTATCCCCCAGCCTTCTCTCCACGATGTGAAAGAGCTGGGGCTGCAGGCCCCCAGCCTGGTGCATCCTACCTGTGGGTTTGCTTATGGCTCTCCTCTCGGGCTCCTTGAAAGGGAACTGCAGGGTGGTGTCCAGCGACTTGAAGCAATCCTTCAGGGAGTTCTGCTGGTAAAACTCCACCAGCTCCTGGCAGGGGGGCAGCAGGACAGATGGTATTCCAGCAGGCCCGCCCCTGAGGGGGCAGCCCCTGAAGGAGCCACATCCAACTCCTCCTATGAAGCAGGAGGCCTCCCTGGCAAGTGACTCCTTGAATAATCCCCGTGATGGGAAGCTCATTCCATTTCTGCACAGCCGGGGCCATTTTATGGGGGAGAGACCACATTGCCTACAGCCAGTTCCTCTAATAACCAATTTGCTTCATGACACATTTACACAATAATCAACCTACCTAACGACCACCTCACCAAAATCAAACCGGACTCCCATGCGGGTGCCAGGAGCCTTATTTTTGTAATTAATTATAATAATAATTAAGCACCTAATAGGTGCTGGCCAGAGTGCAACCATACGTCATCAAAATCTCCTAATCATCCCGAGGGGAGTATGTTCGTGGTACCAAGTGTTTTATAAATGGTGAAAATGAGTCACAGAGAAGCCAAGTGCCTTGGCCAGGGTCCCATGGCCGGAAGAGCGTGGATCCAGAACTCAGCCTCTGGGGAGGCAGTGAAATAGAGCCGCTAAGTGCTGGCTTCTGAAATATGACTGATCTGAATTCAAGTCCCAGATGTATTGCCCGTAGGAGCATTTATTACACAAATGCTCAAGCTGATGCTAATAACAAGTAAACAACTCAGGGCTATTCTGTAAAAGGACATGTTTGCATTTTAGAGTTCTAGATTCCTAAGATGCCCATGTGGACCCTGAGAAAGAAGATCTCTATTAAGAAGGGCTCCTGGCCCGGCTGGAGTGGCTCAGTTGGTCGAGCGGAGTCCCATGAACCAAAAGGTTTCGGGTTCAATTCCTGGTCAGGGCACATGCTCAGTCAGGTAATCATGAAACCGATTAGGCAGAGCTAAATCTTCAAGTCCGACAGAAACAGGGACCCTGCCCGTCTCAGCGTCACCCATCTGTGAAACGGGAACTCAGAGAGTGAGTTCTGAGGGCATTCACTGATGGCCTGTCTATAACCTGTGTGGCACTCAGTAAGTGCTCTGTCAGTGCTCACTGCTGTTACTTAGGACTATGATTACCATCCCCATCATCACTATTGGTCATGAGGGGACTGCCTTTAAGGCCAATTGATTCAAAGTGCCCTTGGAGGGGCCCCTGTGAATATGGATAAGAGGGAGGCCGTCCCAAGATGGAGCCTCAGGAAGGGTCCTGCCTGCATTCTGGAAAACTGGAGTTGGGGGAAGATCGGCCCTTACCGCCAGCCCCCGGAAGGCCTTCTTTTCTGTGATCCGGTACAGTCCTTCCGCTGTCATGATTTTAATGTGCTTGACCTCAACATTGTACCTGGAAGCAGGGAGAGAGTGGGCGAGATGGTCATTGAGCCCTGAGGCTGGGGACCCAGGCCCATACTCAGCCCAGCCTCAGCCCCAGGCTGTACCCCAAACCATGGGAAAAGCAGTCTCCGCTGCTTCAGGGAGGGGGCGACCACTGGAGCCCAAGACTGAAGCTGTCTCCTGCTGCTGCACCAACTGGTTCCTTCCCTCGGGGCCTTTTCTGCTCTAACTTCCTTTCTTCCTCTAAGGCTCCAGATCTTCCTAAGATAACAGGAGTCGTCTTCCTGGACTCACAGGGTTGTTGAGAAGTCAGGTCTTGCCAAGAAAGGAATGTTCTAGAACAGTGATGGCTGCTTCAGGGAGGGGGCAACCACTGGAGCCCAAGGCTGAAGCTGCCTCCTGCTGCTGCACCAACTGGTTCCTTCCCTCGGGCCTTTTCTGCTCTAACTTCCTTTCTTCCTCTAAGGCTCCAGATCTTCCTAAGATAACAGGAGTCGTCTTCCTGGACTCACAGGGTTGTTGAGAAGTCAGGTCTTGCCAAGAAAGGAATGTTCTAGAACAGTGATTTTCAACCCGTGTGACGCACGAATTTTTAAAACAGGCAATACCTGACTCTTTAGCCAGGGCACTGACATCTTTTCCATCAGATTGTTAAATTTAAAAATGACAACACAACAGCCGTCCAGTGTGAATAAATCAAAATTAAACTTTTGTTTTTGTAAGATTGGCCAAAAAATGTATTTTTTGGTGTGCCACAGAATTTGGGTAATTAGTTTATGTGCCACATGATGAAGAAGGTTGAAAATCGCTGGTCCACAGCAGATAGGACGAGACCTACGGTGTCTAGCTTAAACCACATGGCAGACCACAGAGCAGCGAGGACGGGGAAGAGATGGTCACTTCGGCCAGTTTGGAGAACTAGAAAACCAAACCTCCTCCCACACAGAAAACCCCTAGAAATGCCGAGGAGAAAAGTGCTGAGTTCTCAAAAGAAAAGGGAAATGCCCAGATGCCAGAAACGAGGACAAAACTAAACACGAAGCAGTAAACTAAGCAGTAAGCATGAACTGTGACCCTAAGGAGTTTGCTCATCTTGGAAACCAGGAAGTTTATGTCTCATTGATCACAGAGACACGAGAAGAGTTACGGGGTCCCTCCAGGTGGCGAGTTGGCCTGAGCCCCGCCCATACCCTGTAAGGCTGGACTGTCAAGAAGCTTCGCCTTCAAGAAAAGGGGGGGGGGCGCGGGCGCTAGAAAACGCCACCCATCCGCGCAGCCAGGATGATAAACATCTTTGTCTGTCTCAGCCCCCAAACAGAAAGCCACCCTTGGGAATTCATAGCCTCAGCCTGCCCTCAACAAGGTCTGCGTGTCAACCAAGGAGCGGTTCAGACTGACATCAAGAACAAAAGGCTTTCATTTAAGCAAAAAGTTGCAGCCCTGGAGACACGGGTTTTTCAGGTATCAACCAAAATTGTGTTCCAGGGGAGAACAAACAGAGGCAAGGTCTGTCAAGGCCAAATCCCCAAAGTGTCATTCTTTCTTTCCTGCAAATGAAGAGCCGCTGGCCGACTTACCAGAGCTTCGTTAGTTTAAATATGCAACCGAGAGGGGTGAAAACTACAAGGAGGAGGTTCGGTCTAAATGCGTCCAGGCCGCGGTTGTTGTTTGGGGATGTTCATGACTCAGCCTTGAGCTCAGTTTAGCAACAGGTTAGCAACTCAGTAGCAGCTCTGAGAACAGAGTCCAAGACCTGCAGAGGCCCCCCCTTCTTAAGAGCCTCCCCCTCTATCTTGAGTCTTAGCCATGACCGTTCCATTTTCTTGTGTCCATCACCAGGAGTTTGAACTTGAACTGCCTGTGTAGTCTGAGAAAACTAAGGAATCAACCTAAAGGAAAATGAACCTGCTCGTGGGTCCCACACAAACAAATGCAAAATCTCTGGCGATCCCGGCAGCAAAAGACTCCCACAGGGCAGGCCCCGTTTAAGATCGAGACACAACTACAAACCCTACGAGGAAGTGAGTCACCCTGAGCGGGCAGCTGCCCTCCGCAACCAGAGAAGCACGAAAGACAAGGTGTGTGTGTGTGAGAGATTCCGGTTCAGGTGACGTCCTTGCTCTGCCTCTTCCTAGGGGGGTGCTCAGTGCCTTTTGGAACCTCCCTAGGAAACATCTCTTCCTTGTGGGTTGTCAGTCGTTTAAAGGAAATACATTTGTTTAAACGCACTCAGACCCCAGGGGTTGAATACAAGGTGGCTATTGGCGCTCTGCCACCCAGGAGCACACGGTGCCTTTCTCTTTCCCCGTCTCCTCCCTGCCCCAGGCTTGTTACCCTCAGCTTCCTCACTCCAAGCTCCAAGGGCATTCCTGGACCTCTATGGCTTGTTTCCTAAGCCATGTCGTCTAGGAATTACTTTTTCTACCTCTGTAATTTGCCATATAAATGTTCTCTTACAAAAAAGAAAGGAAGAAAGGAAGGAAGGAAGGGAGGAAGGAAGGAAGGAAGGAAGGAAGGAAGGAAGGAAGGAAGGAAAGAAAGAAAGAAAGAAAGAAAGAAAGAAAGAAAGAAAGAAAGACGTCCTTCACCCGCTGCCGCACCAAGAAGGTCCCGTCGGAGCGGTTGGTGAGGATGCTTTCTGCTCCGGCGCGCTCCATGGGGCCAGCGTACCTGCCAAGACACACCAAGGACAGAGGTCTGCACCGACCCCATATGGCTACATGGGGTCACGTTTTCTCCTAACCCTTGTGACTTTTCTTAAGTTGGTGACAGCCCAAGTCCAACCGCCCTTAGACACCAAAACAAGTCCGGAGGAGGCAGTGGCCAGGGTCCAGAAGTGGGCAATTTAAAGGGTGGGGGTGGGGGGGTGGGTCAAAAAATTCAGCCATCAAGATAAATAATAACGAGTAGTACTTCACATTGTTGAACAAAATTGAAGAAGCCACAAAGAAATGGGAAGATACTCCATGTTCATGGATTGGAAGCATCAACTTAGTTAAAATGGACATTTTACTTAAAGCAATATACTGAGTTAATGCAATCCTCATCAAAACCCCAATGGCATTTTTTTTCAGAAATAGAACAAAAAATTATCAAATTTGTATAGACCCACCAAAGACCCCAAATAGCCAAAGCGATCCTGAGAAATAAAGAACGAAGTCAGAGGTATCAGCCCCCCTGACTTCAAAGTCTACTACACAGCTACAATAATCAAAACAGTGTACTGGCAGGAAAACAGACACACAGACTGGTGGAACAAAATTGAGAGCCCAGAAATAAACCAACACGTATATGGGCAACTAATTTTTGACAAAGGAGTCAAAAACGCATAACAGAAAAGAAAGCCACTTCAATAAATGGTGTTGGGAAAATTGGGAAGCCATGGAACTAGACTGCTGTTTGACACCATTCACAAAAATTAACTTAAAATGGATTAAAGACTTAAATATAAGACCTAAAACATTAAAACCACAAAGAAGAAAACACGGGTACTAAACTTAATAGACCTTGGTCTCAGAGAGAATTTTATGAACTTGACCTTAGAGGCAAGGGAAGGAAAAGCAAAAATAAATGAACGGGACTATATCAGACTAAAACGTTTCTGCACAGCAGAAGCAACCATCAACATAACATAAAGGCAGCCCAGCCAGCATGGCTGAGCGTTGACCTATGAACCAGGAGGTCATGGTACGATTTCGGGTCAGGGCACATGCCTGGGTTTTGGGCTCGATCTCCAGTGTGGAGGCATGTAGGAGGCAGCCAATCAATGATTCTCTCTCATCACTGATGTTTCTCTCTCTCTCCTTCCCTCTGAAATCAATAACATATATATATTAAAAATTATACACTTAAAACTTAGATAATGTTATTCACCAAGGCCACTTCAATAAATTTAATTTTTAGAAGTAGTATTTTAATGTAAGGTTTTTAAAACTCAAGAAGACTACAAAAGCAGCCATAAAAAGGAGCAAAGTCCTGGCACTAGTTACAACATGGATGAACCTTGAACACATGATGCTCAGTGAGAGAAGCCACACACAAAAGGCCACACAGTGTGTGACTCCATTCATGTGAAAAGTCCCAGAACAGGCACATCCAGAGACAAGAAGTGGGTTAGTGGTGGCCAGGGGTTGGGGAGGGAAGAGAGGTAACTGCTAATGGGGGCAGGGCTTTTTTTAGGGGGAATGAAGATGTTTTTCACCAGGAAAGAAATAATATACATACATCACTGTGAATGTACTAAAGTGCCATCCTTCCTATATAATAAAAGGCCAATATGCAAATTGTCCCCTCGACCGGGAGTTCAATGGAGAGTTTGACCAGGGGGGCCGACCCCACCCATGCACGAATTCATGCACCGTGCCTCTAGTTGAATATAATTGTCAATATGGGTATATTTATGTTGTAAATGTAAATATATAATAAGTATATTAATTATAGATTATATACAATTATAAATATATAAATGTGAATATGAATATATTTATGCTATAAATGTGAATCTGTAACATAAATAATATGGTAATTATAGATAATATAAACTAGATAATAAATAAATGTGAATATGTAACAAATGTTAATTACAGATATATAATTATAGATGATATATAAATGAGTATTAATGTATACTATAAATATAAACATAACATAAACAATGCATAAATAAGTAGAACAACAATTATTAATTCTAGATAATATATAATTATAGCTGATACATAATTATGAATATGTAATATAAATTTAAACATGAATATAAATTATACTTAAAATGGTCAAATTTTTTTAATCTTCACCCAAGGATATTTTTCCATTGATTTTTAGAGAGAGTGGAAGGGTGGGGGAGAGACAGAGAGAAAGAAACGTCAATGTGAGAAAGACATATTGATAGGTTGTCTCCCACATGCGCCCCAACCAGGATTGGGGATCTGGGGATTAAGCCTGCAACAGAGGTACGTGCCTCTGACCGAATCGACCCGGGACCCTTCAGTCTCTGGGTCGATGCTGTATCTACTGAGCCAAACCAGCTAGGGCTTAACATGGTTAATTTTATGTTATGTGAATTTCACCTCAATTTTAAAAATGAATTTGGCCCTGGCCAGGTATCTCATTGGTTAGAGTGTCATCCTGATACACTAAGATTGTGGGTTCAATCCCTGGTCAGGGCACATACAAGAAGCAACCAATGAATGCATAAACAAGTGGAACAACAAATCAATGTTTCTCTCTCTCTAAAATCAATCAATAAATAAAAATTTAAAAAATGACTGCAGCCCCGGCCAGTGTGGCTCAGTTGGTTGAGCATCATCCTGTACACCAGAAGGCTGCCAGTTCGATTCCGGTCAGGGCACATGCCCAGTTTGTGGGTTCTATCCCCAGTTGGGGTGCATGCAGGAGGCAACTGATCAATGTTTCTCTCTCACATCGATGCTTCTCTCTCTCTCTGTCTCTCTGTCTCTCTCAAATCAATAAAAACATATATTTTTTAAATGAGTGCAAAAAAACCCCATGATGAGCAAAATGTCAACATTTTAAATAAACACACGGTCTGATTCTGCACTTGCCTGATTCAACACAGTTCACCTCTTCCTACTCCCAGCCCTGTCATACCCTATCTGTATTACAACTTTGATGTCTTGCTCATCAAGGATATTTTTTGCCTTGATCTTAATTTTTTAAAATGTTACATTAAAATGTCGTGGACCTCAATGCCTGAGGTTTTTGGTGCCCCCTTCGATTTTTCACCCACAGTGAGTGCCTCACTCTCCTCACCCCATTTTCCGCTCTGGTGACCACTTCCCGGCAGGGGTGGGCAGAGTGAGTACAGCCTGGAGAGACTGTGGTTGGAATCCTGGCTTCGCCCCCTAGATGCTCTGTGACCTCAGGAACTGGTTTTTACGCTCTGAGCCCCAAATTCCTCTTCTAGAAAGAGGGTGAGAAGCCCACCCACCACCGAGGAACACTTTTGGCAAATGGCGAGAATGCAGTTGAAGCACCTCATATATGAAATTCACAAGGTTGTTCTATGCTCATCGTGTTACCATGACTCTCAAGAGGCAGCAAGTCAGGCCCAGGAATCAGGCCAACTTGGGTGGAATCCCACCTCTGTCACTTCCTCACTGTGTGACATTGAACAGATCCCTTCTCCTCTCTGAGCCTCCGTTTCCTCCTCTGCAAAAAGGGAGTTAAGAATAGCTACCTACTCCAAAAGGCTGTGACAAGAATTAAATGTGCTGACACATGGTCATAAAAGCAACACGCTTGTTAGGTCAGGTCTAAGTCGCCAACGACTGTAAAATGCACCGTTCTTTATTGGACCATTACAAAATGAAAACCACTACCCATAAAATAAGGTAAAGACGGAGGCTCCATTGATTGCAAAAGATGTTAAAATGTGTGTGTGTATGCAGGGGCGGCGGGGGGGGGATGTGAATGAACACTCAGGATCGATGAAATGTGACAATAGCTAATGATGAAAACAACAGATAATAAAGTGCTTATTGTGCGCCAGTTATGAAGCCTCATGACAATCCTATGATGTAAATATTGATATTCATCTAGTTTCCAGAGAGCAAAGTTGAAGCACAGAGATGGTGACTTACTAGCCCAAGGTCACACAGCTGGGAAATGTTGGAGTCAGGATTTAAACCCAGGCCAGTGGATTCCAAAAGCAACACTGTAAACCCTCACCCCTCAAAGTTCTATACGTAGTAGGTGCTCCAAAAAAAAATGGGGACCACCACTGCCATGGTCACCATCATTTTCTTGCCAGGAGACTATCATCTCCTAAAGTTTGGGGCCCTCTTTTGTCTGTTCTCTCCTCAGGAGCTTCCGGTGCTGGGCTGGACCCAACCGCCAATGCCCAGGGTTCAAAGAGTGGATAACTGATTGGTTTGGAGGCCCCTCCTCAGGCACCCACCCCAGAGAGACCCCAACTTGAAAGTAAGGAAGGCGTCCCAGCAGGTATGGCTCAGTGGTTGAGCGTCAACCTATGAACCCGGAGGTCATGGTTCGATTCCCGGTCAGGGCACATGCCCGGATTGCGGGCCCAGTCCCCAGTGTAGGGTGTGCAGGAGACAGCTGATCAATGATTCTCTCTCAAAAAAAAAATGGGGACCACCACTGCCATGGTCACCATCATTTTCTTGCCAGGAGACTATCATCTCCTAAAGTTTGGGGCCCTCTTTTGTCTGTTCTCTCCTCAGCAGCTTCCGGTGCTGGGCTGGACCCAACCGCCAATGCCCAGGGTTCAAAGAGTGGATAACTGATTGGTTTGGAGGCCCCTCCTCAGGCACCCACCCCAGAGAGACCCCAACTTGAAAGTAAGGAAGGCGTCCCAGCAGGTATGGCTCAGTGGTTGAGCGTCAACCTATGAACCTGGAGGTCATGGTTCGATTCCCGGTCAGGGCGCATGCCCGGATTGCGGGCTCAGTCCCCAGTGTAGGGTGTGCAGGAGGCAGCTGATCAATGATTCTCTCTCATCACTGATGTTTCTATCTCTCTCCCTCTCCCTTCCTCTCAGAATTAAAAAAATATATATATTTTTTTTAAAAGTAAGGAAGGAAGGTGGTTCTACTCACCAGAGATGAACTGACAGGTCCTGAGGGGGACCCTAGGGACAAGAGACCAAGACTTAGGACAAAGAGCCCATCTTGGCAACAGACTTCAGGGCACTTTGTTCATTCATTCATTCATTCATTCACTCACTCCGCTGTCACTTACTGAATGCAGGTCATGTACCAAGCACTGTACTGTCCACTGGGAAGACATTCCGGAATCTAGTGGGAGAGGCTGGTCCCCTATCACACAATTCAGGGATTGTCCAGACACCTGTTTTAGCATGACCTCCAAGCTAAGAAAGGTTTTTAGATTTTTTTAATGGTTGACAAAATATTTTAAAAAACTATTATTTCCTGGCACATGAAGATAATAAGAAATTCATAAGCCAGGGCCCACGGGAACATGGCCACGCTCCTCGTTCACAGAGCATCTTTGGTTGCTCTGGCACCACTGTGGCGGAGGTGAGTAGCCACAACAGAGAGCGTCTCACCCAGAAGCTGAAAGTGTGTGCTGTCTGCTTACAGGGAAGGTGTGCCAATCCCTGATCTAAATAAATGTAAAAGGGCACATTTCTACCACCTCTGGTCCATGAGGAGGGCTGCCCTCGAGAGAGAGAGACAATAAGAGAGACAGAATGAAAGAGGGGGGACTGAGAGAAAGAGGACAAAGAGGAAGAAAAAGGAAGGAAGGAAGGAAGGAAGGAAGGAAGGAAGGAAGGAAGGAAGGACGGAAGGAAGGAAGGAAGGAAGATAATTCTTTCTTAAAGTAGAATTCCAATTAAAAATGTAGGAAGAATGGTGACTAGAAAATCACTAGTAGAATATCACAGAAATAATTGTCACAGGCTAGACCCACCAATGAAAGCAAAAATTAATGGACAAATGATTAAGTTAAAATGGAATATACTATATATACATATATCTACTTTCAAAGAAAAATATGGAACTCTAATTGCATTACTAGCCAGAATGAAAATGGTTCATCCTCTATGCAAAACCAGATAGCAGCAGTTCCTCAAAAAAATAAAATCACCACACGACACAGCAGTTGCTCTTCTGGGTATACCCTCAAACAATTGGAAACTGGGACTCAGATATTTATTTATACACCTTCATTCACAGCTGCATTATTCACACTCGCCAAAAGGTGGCAGCAACCCAAGTGTCTATCCTCGGATGAATGGATAAGCAAGATGTGGCCCATGAGACAATGGGATATTACGTAGCCTTAAAAAGGAAGGAGATTCTGGCACACACCACAACATGAATGAACCTTAAACTCGTACTAAGTGATGTAAGCCAGACACAAAAGGATGGATGCCATGTGATTCCACTCGCAGGAGGTCCCTAGGGGAGTCAGATCCACAGAGACAGAAAGTAGATGGGAGGTGCCAGGGGCTGGGGGAGGGGAATGGGGAATTAGTGCCGAATGGGGACAGAGGTCAGCAGAACCTCAAGTTTGAGAATGACCTGCCATGACGGGTAGCTCCGTCCCTATCTCAGGGGTCTCCCCAAGCCTGCCTGCCCTCTCAGAACCCCCTCTGGACTCCCCTGCCCTCGCTCCGTCCAGTCTTGAGGCACTCACATGCACGTAGGGCTTGACCCTGTTACAGGGAAACCAGCCAACTTCATTGGTAGCTGTATTCCTGCCCTAAAATGCCAGGAGGGAAAAACATGGAGAGAGAGGTCATAGGCATCTGCTAGCATGTGTGTCCATCTTTCTATTTCATGGCCACTCTGCCCGTCCATCGCTGTCTCTGTGACCTGGATGACCCAAAATGTGCCGAGCAGTATCGACTTCCAGGGAAGACAGCCAGCTCAGAAGGGCCCAGCCAGCCTTGGAAATCTCTACCTACACCACCCTCCCAGACACCTCCTCCAGACCAGCCTTCCCTCGCCAGAGTGCAGGGAGGCCATGACCCCACTTCCCAGGGTCACCCACACCCTTGACCCCACACTCGGGTCCTTCTCCCTCACTCCCACAGCCCCAGCCTGTACCTCCCACCAGTTCTGCTCAGCCTCGGCCTTGGTGAGTTCCACGATGTCTCCGGGGTTGAGCCGTAGAAAAGGTCCCAAGGCTCCCGGGGGTGGAGGAATCCCGTAGTACTCCTGGCAAACCTCCATCTTGGGCAGCCCTGGAGGGGAGGAGAGAGACTGCCATCTGTGTCCCACGGTGGGCTGGGTACTCAGGGATGCTCAGACCTGAGTCTCACCGCCCACCGGGGCAGCAAACATTATAAAAGATTGACAAGACCAAGTGGTGGCCAGGATGGGGGCACCTGGAACTCTCCTCCTACATTGCTGGTGGGAATCCACTTTGGAAAGCTGTTTGCAGTCTCCACTAAAACTAAACAGATGTCTACCCAGCGATCCAGCAATTTCCCAAGAGAAATGGAAACACATGTCCACTGAAAGTCATAGGCAAAAATGTTCCCAGCAGCTTGGTCCACAAGAGCCAAAAACTGGCAACAAACCAAATGTCCTCAATAAAATGGATAAACAGCCCAGCTGGTGTGGGCCAGTGGTTGAGCGTCGACCTATGAACCTGGAGGTCAAGGTTTGATTCGCAGTCAGGGTATATGTCTGGGTTGTGGGCTTGATCCCCAGTGTGGAGCACTGCAAGAGGCAGCCAATCAATGATTCTTTCTCATCATTAATGTTTCTATCTCTCTCCCTCTCCCTTCCTCTCCGAAATCAGTAAAAATATATTTTTAAAATAAATAAAATAAATTGGATAGAGTGTGATATAATCATACAGTCCAAATCAGTAAAAATATATATTTAAAATAAATTGGATAGAGTGTGATATAATCATACAGTGGAAAAGTATACAGCAATGAAAAAGAACAAGCTACTGCTACCAGCAACCACATCAATGAATCTCACCAACATTGTGCTGAATAAAAGAAGCCAGATGTAGTAAGGGCACATACTGGATATATGCACACATACACACACTCATATATATTTCCTCCTACTGAGCACATTTCAGTTGTTTCTAATTTGTTACTACTGTAAATAAAGCTGAAATATGTATATATGTAGGTATATCAATATAAATAAATAATAGACATGAAATCTGACTCTTTACACTGGCTCTGCGTGACTATTAGCAAATGGTTTATTTCTCTTAGCCACAGAAAATTGTTTTCACTTCTTTCATAATGCTTTGCCTCCCTGCCTCCTAGCCTTTGCACATGCTGTTCCCTCTGCCTGGAATACACAGTGCCCCGTGCTGACTCACCCAGCTCATTCTTCTTTTTGTCCTGAGCCCGGCGATGTAGCCTATCCTGGAGGGAGAGACCAAGAAAACCAGCGTGGCTACCTGAGCCCAGCCTGGGGACTCCTCAGCCCCTATCTGAGCACCCAGAGAAGGGCCATGCCCACTGCTGGGGTCTCCCGAGGCCTCCTGCCATTACCCCCCAGTATTTCCAGGCACACACAAAAGTCTTACCTTCTTCATAGTTCCAGCAAAATCTATGGGAGGGAAAAGAAAGGTTAAGATGAGAAATACCCCACGCAGAACCAAGCCCACCCCTGCCCTGTCTCCCACTGGTACCTTGCCCATGGCGGCCACAGGGAGGGACCCTCCCCAGACACTCTTTGTGTGCAGGTGCCCGGCACCGATGACAACGGTAGCCCTGGTAGAAGGTGCCTCTGGCATGCAGGAGATGAGATAAAGGAGAGTCAGTGCCGTTGATGAACACAGCCAATCATTCACCATTAACATGAAGGGTTGGGTACTCTTTAGAGCAGGAGAGAGATGGAGAAGCTTAAGATCAAAGGAGAGCCTCCCACCTCCCCACACAGGGGAGCGATGGCTGGAGGAGCCCCTTTAAGGAGGAAGTGCTGACCAAGCCCAGGACCCAGGCCCATCCTCTCAGACTCCCACCTCAGCAGCATCTGGCAAGCCTTGCAGGATGTGGTCTCCTCGAAGGAGAACATCTGGAAGTCGTGCCCGTTGGCTGTGGCATTCTCAGGGTAGATGTTGGAGCTAGAGAGGGGAGACAGTTCCACACGATGGAATAGTATTCAGCCATAAAAAAGAAGAAAGTTCTCATGCATGCTGCCACTTGGATGTGTCAGTACTTCCTTCCTTTTTACAGCTGAATACCATTCCACTGCATGGATATATTGAATTGTGTGTAGCCATTCATTTACTGATGGACATCTGGGTTGTTGCCATCTTTTAGCCACTGTGAATACTTTGGGCCAGTGCTGCTATGAACATGGGAGGAGACAGAAAGCAGACTGGTGGTTGCCAGGGGCTGGAGGGGAAACTGGGGAGTAGCTGCTTCAGGGGTGCAGGGTCTCCTTTGGGGGGTGGGGATGAAAATGTTTTAGAATTAGAGGTCATGGTTGCACAAGAATGTACGCACTAAATGCCATTGAATAGTACATTTTAAATTGGTTCAATTTTTGTTATGTGGATTTCACTTCAAGGGGAAGAACAAAAAAAAAAGGGGGGGGAGGAAGGGGAGGAAACAGTTCTAGGTTGGTAACCAAAGCTTGCACAGAACCTTGGCATTCTGGGGATGCAGACAGCCTCCAGCCTGTCCCTCCCATTTCGCAGATGGTGAAACTGAGGTTCAGAGGAGTCCCACAGAATGTCAAAGAAGATGTGAGACAAGAGCATAGAATCGCCTCTCAGCCCCTGCACCTGTGGGAGTCCTCTGAGGGTATAAGGACGGAGGAGGAGGGGTCTCACATGGCCATCTCGAACTGTTCCATCCACTTCTTCTTCAGTTCTCGCGTCTTGAAGAACAGCTCATAGCCCTGAGCACCTTGGTCCTCGATCAGGAGAAACATGTGAGTCCACTGCAGGGAAGCGGGGTTCAGAATGAAGTACCCACCCTGCAGAGGGTGGGGCCACATGTCCACCACCCCTACCCCTGTAAGGAGAAAACGGTGGGTCCGGTACCTGCCTCTCTGCCCCCAGGAAAACATGCATTTACCATGGCAAAGGGTTGCCCACGACACACCCATATATCTAAAATCACACACACACACTCACGTCTGAGACAAATGCTCACGGGCATTGCAAAGGCCAAGAGGCGTGTCTCAAGCACTGGTGCTTCCCAGCAATGGGGTCCCCAGTTCTGGCCTCAGAACCCCACCTTCTTGTTGTCACGCTCTCCCGAAGAGTCATCTCGAACCTGGAAGCTGTGCAGGTTCACAAAGTCCTTGAGGTCGTAGGAGTCCCCTCGGCGCTTGCAGATGAGCAGGGCTTTGTCGAGCAGGAAGGCGTACCTGGGAGCAGCTGGGTCAGGTGCTTCTGCCTGGCTTCTCCCAACAGTCCCTACCAGCTCTCTGCCTGGTTCCTTCCACCCTCCAGGTCCACCCCACTGTCCATCTAGGTCCTACCATTCTAGGACTCCTACCCTTCTCTTCGTGGCCAACTTGGCCTTGCCCACCTGCCCATCTTGCCCTCACCCATGTGTTCCCTGCTGGCCCGGCCATCTGCTGGTCTTGGCTCCGCACAACTATGTTGTCTTCGCCTTGTCCATCTCGATTCCACCCCCTGGTCCAGGTGGTCCTACCCACATGCCTATTTAGAAACCTGGCTCCGCCCATGCCGAAGCTCCACCCAGATGTGTTAACTCCACCCACCGACCTACAGAAGAACCTGGGCCCGCCCCCACCCAAGCCCCGCCCACCTGTCTGTCTTGGAGCGGCGCTCCACGGAGGTGATCTTGAGTTCCCCATCGATCTTGGGCCGGCCATAGTGGGCCAGAGACTGGTCCTAGGCAGCAGGCAAGGAATCCGGCAAGGGGCCACCAAGGAGGAGACCAAACTCCCTCCCTGCGTGGCCACGCCCCTGGCCCTCCCAGCCCCATCCCCTCACCAGGTTCTCAATAGACAGCTGGAAGTTGGTGATCTGCCTCAGCGTCTCATTGTCCCGCTTGACCTCATTCACACACTGCGCCAGGTCCTGGGGGTTAGCCAGGTGTGAGTCTGGGCACCCCCACCCAGCCCAGCCCCCTAACTGACCAGGGATAGGGGTCAGCCCCCATCAGAGCCAGCAAGAGTCTTAAAATCAGTGTCCAGCCTGTCCAGTGTGGCTCAGCATCGACCTATGAACCAGCAGGTCATGGTTGGATTCCTGGTCAGGGCACATGCCCAGGTTTCGGGCTCCATCCCCAGTGAAAAGCGTGCAGAAGGCAGCTGATCAATGATTTCTCATCATTGATGTTTCTATCTCTCCCTCTCCTGTCCTCCCTGAAATCAATAAAAGTGTACTTTTAAAAAGACAGTGTCCACAACATGTCAGTGTCCTCAGGAGGACACTGTCAATAACTGATCACATAGGCATGTGGCCCTGTGGGGGGGGAAGTGTTGCCCATGGATGTGACTGTGTCTGGGTGGCACTGCACTGTGCTGTCCTGAATGCATGTGACTGACACCCCTGCATGTGACTACTCACCCTCATTGCATCCAGGGCAAGCCGCAGATTCTCCTTCTCCATTGCGTCCTGCGTGTGTTTCACCAGCTCCTGCATGACCCACAGAGGCAGACATCACCTGGGCCTGTCTTCTCCCCCCAGGCCTTCCATCCTTCTCCCTCCTCCTGCTGTCCCAGGAGGCCAGGCATGGTCCCAGTGACCCTCCCAGAGGGCCCTAGAGTCCAGCCTCCAGAAGCCAGTCCCACCCTCACTCCTATGGCACAGGGAGGTAGAGATGCCAAGCCCATAATCTTGGACCTAGGAGGTCCCCAACTGTGCACCTGGAGAAGGAGGTGGTACTTGAGTACTCGCTGCATTGGCACCATCAGCAGGTCCCGCAAGGTGAACCTCCCATTGTTTGCTCGCTGAGAACATTCCTGTGGGATCAGAGAACCAGATAAGCAAGATGGCAGGTGTGGATTTTTCTAGAGCGAGAAGCATCCTATCTCCCCTGAGGAAATACAGATGGAAGAATGCCATGGGGTGGAGGCCCAGGACCCGCCAGCTGAGTGGGGCTGGAGAAAGGTGGGGGGACAGGAATGGAGGGTCCCCACCGTGCAAAGAGGCTGGGTGCACGGGGCACACAGTATTCCTCACCACCGCCCATTGTTTGCTCGCTGAGAACATTCCTGGGGGATCAGAGAACCAGGTAAGCAAGATGAGGTGAAAGCAGGTGTAGATTTTTCTAGAGCAAGAAGCATCCTATCTCCCCTGAGGAAGAATGCCATGGAGTGGAGGCCCAGGCCCCACCAGCTGAGTGGGGCTGGAGAGAGGTGGAGGGACAGGCTGGGTGCACGGGGCACACAGTATTCCTCACCACCCCTACCCTCTCTGTGCTTCCACCACACACGGGTCCAGGTTGGGGCTAGTCCAGGGTCGGAGCTCAGTGTGAATTTGGAGCTCAGCCCAGACTTGGTGCACAGCCAGGACTGGGGTTCAGTTTGGAGTCAGAGTTCAGCTCAGGGTCAGGACCTCAGCCTGGCGTCAGGGCTCAGTGCTTCAGTCCATTTCCTCCTGCTCTAGTACCTCCTTCCCCAAACCCCCGATGGGAAGATCCCTGGTTGCACTGAAGCAGAAAGCGATGCCATCTCCTACTCTGTGTCCTCCCTGCTGCCCCGGGGCCCGTGAAGGAGTGGGAGAGCACCCCCCGCATTGGGGCCCGGCCCCGACCTCCAGCTTCATCTGTACATCCTCCCGGGCGCTGGCCACGCGGTCCAGGTGCTTGCTGGCCGACTCCACCTGGCTGCAGTAGCGGCCATAGATGAGGAACCTGCGGGAAGGGGACAGGTAGCAGTGGCCGGACAGGTAACGGTGGCCGGCACCAAGGTCAGGCAGCTCCGGCCCACCCCTTCCCAGGGGGGTTGATGCTGAGCCTCCGTCTCCCCGTCTATAAAATGGGCATAACAATAGCATTTCTGGGCATCAGTCCCACCCGGCCCACCCCTTCCCAGCGGGTTGATGCTGAGCCTCCATCTCCCCGTCTATAAAATGGGCATAACAATAGCATTTCCCATGTGGGGTTATTATAACATTAAATGCGATAATGCCCAAGAAGCTCTTAGCACTTGGCAAATCATCTCTGCTCAATGTTCATTTACTTAATAAACTCATTGAGCACATACCATGTGCCAGGCCCTGTGCTAAGCACTTTAGACATTGATTGACCAGTCCTGTACCACACGGACTTTACAGATACGGAAGCAGAAGCACAGAGACATTAAGTGACTTCCCAGAACCACACACAGCTCACCAAAGGCAAAGCCAGAGATTGAACCAAAGATGGTAGCCCCTTGCCCATGAGCAAAGAAAGAAAAACCCTCCCTGTCCAGTGGTCTCTGCAGGCAAAGTCCCTCAAACACCCCGCCTGGACAGGGCAGGGTGACCTTCAGGGGTCCCGGCTGGCCTCACCTCTCCTTGTATTTGATGAAGACCTGGTAGAGGGTAGGTGCACTGGTGGTGGCCAGGGCTTCCTTCATCTCCTTTAGGAAGTGAGTGTGCACACGAAGCAGGTCCTAGTCAGAGGGATGGGGTGAGGGCCGGGCAGAAGCCTGGGGCTCAGGAGAAGGGTCATCCACTCGCCCTGTGTTGCCCAATTCCCAAACCCCACACTCCAGGGACAGACGGGGCCAGCAGATGGCTCCCGGCTAACAGCAGCCCCGGAGGGGGGATCAGAGACCAGGTGAGCAAGATGGGGCAGGGGGGCTGGGGACAGGCCGGCGTACCTCGATGTTGATGAAGATGATCTCTATGTCTTCAGGTTTGAGGAACCGCTGCAGGGGCTTCATGAAGTGCTGCGGGGAGGGGAGAGAGGGATGGGGGAGGTGGGACCCTGCCTCCAGCCCCGTCCCAGAGAGGCAGGGACAGGGAGACAGAGCTGGAGAGAGGCGAACAGAGAGACCAAGAGGAAAAGAGACAGCGATATGGAGAGAGAAAAGAGAAAGACAGAGACAAGGAAACAAAAGCAGGCAGAAAAAGAGATGGAGAATGTGCACGAGCGAACATGTACGTGACTGTTCACAGCAGTTATTCACAACAGCTGCGAGTGGGAACAACACGAGTGTCCATCAGTGGGTAACAAAACGCGGTCCATCCACACTGGAATGTCACTCAGCCATGAAAAGGAGTGAAGGACTGACGCTTACTGCAACGTGGATGGACCTTGAACACATGATGCTCAGTGAGAGAAGCCAGACACAAGAGGCCACAAATTGTGTGATCCCATTTATAAGAAATAGGCAAAATAGGCAAATTCAAAGAGACAGAAAGTAGACTACTGGTTGCCAGGGGCTGGGGGAGGATGGGGACTTAGGGGGAGGGATGGATAAGGAGTATGGGGTTTCTTTGGGGGGTGATGAAAAGGTTCTCAAATTAAATAGTGGTGATGGTTGCACAACCTTGTGTTTATACCTAAAGCCAGTGAATTGTGTATGTTACATGGGTGAATTGTACGGTATAGCAATTACAGCTCAATGAAGCTGTCTAAAAAGCAATGGCCAAAGGAAATAGAGAAAATAGAAAGTCAAAGACAATAATGGAGACAGAGATGAGGATACACAGAGGGAAAAGGAGACAGATGGAGAGAGAAACAAGTGGCAAAAGCCATAGAAAACCAGGGAGGCAGAGAGAGACACACCAAGCAGGGCGTGGCCCCATAGACGCGGGACAGGCGGACGCACCTGCCGCCCGCTCCCACGCATGTGCCTGGCAGGGGCGGGGTGGGGCATCGCACCTGTTGGATGGAGCCTAGTGTGTCCGTGTACTTCTCCTCCGTCTGCTGGATCTCTCGCAGGCAGCAGCACCGCTTGTCATAATCTGTCATCTTGGGCTGAGAGCGGGGAGGAGAGGCAGGTGTTGGGGAACCCGGGACTGCCCTTTGGCCGTGCACCCATCCAGGCCCAGTCCTTCACCCCCACACACCGGCATGGGCACCGGCTCCGAGCGCATGAGGTCCTCATAGATCTCGTCGCCCTCGGCCTCCTCGTTCTCCACGCAGTCATACAGGTCCTCATCCTCCTCCACGGTGTCGCTGCAGGATGCAGAGTCAGGCAGGGCCTCAGGAGCCCCCAGGCCAGGGGCCCCTCAGACCCCTCCCAGATCAAACCCCAAGGGCAGGATCATGTCCCCTTCAGACCTCCTGGCCCCTCAGACCCGCAGGGCAGGGCCTGGTGCAGACACTCACTCAATCTGGTCGGACAGGCCGCTGTAGATGTCTTCATCCCCCACACTCTCCTCCTCTGTGGGGAAGGGCCTGGGGGAGCCAGGATGGTGTGAGCCAGAGGCCGGAGGGCCAGGTGGGGAGGGGGGGGTTTCAAGGACAGGGAGGACAGGGTCAGCCCAAAGCTGTCTGTCACCTCAGTGGTTACTCACATGATCCCCTTGTTCTGGGCAATCGGGGTCCAGGACAGGGCGGACAGGGTGTAGATGACCTGTGAAAAGGGCCGTGTTTTGCTCAGCAAGCCCCTGGCCCACCCCCATGCCAGAACAGCCTTGCACTCCAAGCAGCTGAGGCTGCACCTTGACGTTAGACCCCTCCAGGCCTCTGGGAGCCTAAATCAGGATGTCCTCCGCTTTCCCATCCCCCCATGTCAGCATGCCAGCGTTCCTGCTATTCTATTTAATTCCCATAAGCACTCAAAGAGGATGGGATGATATTACTCCCTAGGACTCAGAGAGGTGCGGCCACATATCTGAGGTCACACAGCAAGTGGTGAAGCAGGAACTCGCACCCGATTCCACGTCTCCTAAGCCAGACTCTCGGCACTGTGACCCTGTAGGGCACATCGGTCCTTCCCCTACCTGCTCATAGCCTGCCTGGTGTCGATGTTCATGGAAATAAACTCAAACCCAATCTGTGGGCTCTACGCGCCCAGCTCACCTTCCCGAAGTCCTGCACATCGAAGAGGTCAAAGGCCTCAAAGAGCTCACTCCTCTTGAGGCCAAACTTCTCACAGCAGGTAGACAAGAAGGTGCGGATGTTCTTAAGGCACAGGAACTGTGGGCAGAACAGTAATGAGGGTGGGAAACATAATGGGACGGGGAGAAGCCGAGCCCCTGCAGTCTGACTTGGTGACCCGCTCGGAAGGGGAAGCCTAAAGCACAGCCCCCTCAGTAAGCCACCCCCTCTTCTGGTAAAGACCAAGCTGTCCCTGAGGCCAGAGCTACCCCTCAATTTTTTTAGTTCACATGACATAAAGTTAACCACGAACTGGTAACCAAACATCTATATATATAAAATGAAGTAATATGCAAATTAGGCCAGGACGCTGTAACGGTCATGACCAGCTCAGGAGGAGGGGCCGGGTGTGGCCCGGAGCCTGAGAGAACAACATGCAGGGGGGCTGGCCCCCAGCCCCAGCCCCTTGACCAAGGCACTGGGCTGCTGAGGCTGGAGCGAGCGGAGACACAACCTCATAGGGGGTCCAGCTCCCAGCCCCAACACCACTATGGCGCTGGGCTGCTGGGGCCGGAGTGAGTGGAGACACAAACCCGCAGGGGGGCCGGGTTCAAATCTGACCAAGGGCATGTACCTAGGTTGCAGGCTTCTCCGTGGCCGGGGCCCAGGTCAGGGCTCATGCAGGAGGCAACCAATCAAAGTGTCCCTCTCACATTGATGTTTCTCTCTGTCTTTCCCTCTCTCTTCCATGCTCTCTAAAAATCAATGGGAAAATATCCTCAGGTGAGGATAAAAAAAGAAGAAAGAAATGTCATATTCTATAAAAGAGACATCTTGAAAATGCCTAAAGAAAGTTGTCATTTTTTCGTGGTGAAGGGACTGGAGTCTGTGTTGATGAAAACACCTTGGTGGCTGCGGCGGCCACAGTGGCAGCAGCAGCGGGGTGATGGGGGTGGCACCTTCCCCTGATCAGCCTGGTTGCCTCCCACAGAGGGAGGCCCACGGGGAGCGGGCCTAAGTTGTCAGTAGGACATCCCCTGAGGGCTCCCGAACTGTGAGAGGGGGCAGGCTGGGCTGAGGGACAACCCCCACCCAGTGCACAAATTTCGTGCACCGGGCCTCTAGTGCTATAATAAATGCAAATGAAAATTATTCAGCCATTAAAAAGGAATGAGGTTTGGTTTATGCTACCACATGGATGAACCTTGAAACATTATGCTTGGTGGAATAAGCCAAACACATAAGGACAAATACTGTATGATTTCACTCATATGAGATCCCTAGAGGAGTCAGATCCACAGAGACAGGAAGTAGATAGTGGGAGCCAGGGGCTGGGGGAGGGGGATGGGAGTTAGTGTTTAATGGGCACAGAGTTTCAGTTTTGAATGATGAAAAAGTTTTGGATATAGGGGTGATGGTCACACAACAATGTGAATGTATTTAATGCCACTGAATTATACACTCACAAATGGTTAAAATGATAAATGGTCATTTTATTTACATATCATTAATATATTTTGATACATATTTTATTTATAAAACAAATATTTATATCATTTTAGTTATATATAAATCTATAGTAATAAAAGCATAATATGCTAATTAGACCAGACAGCCAAATGACCTTCCAGACATCCTTCCAGATGACCTTCCGGATGAGGGCCAAGGCAAGCTGTGAGGGCC